TAACTTATAGATAACATTTGCCCTAAATGATATCGTTCGGCTTAAATAGCCCATTTTTTAGACGCGTATGATCACTACTCTCATTTACTGCACATTTCTGCTGATTCTACTGCCCTCCCTTCTCCCAGTCTACTCCCGTCCTCACACATCGATGCCATCAACAATCAACTACACTACTCTGGCCCTACACATACGCAAACTTATTCTCAGCATCACCCCCATCGTGCTCGCTCCTCAGGCACTCCCAGCTGTATCCTGCGTGCCGGCCTCGTCAGTGGTAAACCAAAACGCACACGCCCTGTTCCAATACTCTCGCTCTAGTCCAGTTTCGATCCGTTCCGTATCTCTATTAATTCATCTCTCACGCCCTCTACTCTCAAGATCACATCACCCTCTCCCTCTTATTCCCACACGCTTCCCTCTAATCACCAGGTTCCCATATATCTCCACTCAACGCTATCCACTCATATACCAAATTCCACGCCTCCGCTCGGTGGCTTCACTAGACGTAATCCTCTATCGCCCTCCTCTCCTCCATCCAGTTATACCTCAACACCTCACCAGTTCTCATCACTGATAACGTATACCAAAACTCTCTTCACGTGCTAAGTCTCCAGCTCTCCAGTGCCATCATACCTTTTCATAGCGCTGGTGTGTAAATTATGAGATCTGTTCCTTGCAACGCACGTTTCTTCCGAGCTCACGTCTCAAGTCAGGTCATGCTTAGTAACCCAGGATTCGCGTTTGGCATAAAGAGTGTGTTTTGAATGTAATCGTGGAGGCGAAGCCTTCGACCGCACCTGAGCTAAGAAGTATAAGAGTTCAGGAGTTAAGCTGAGAACTGAACCAGCAGTCAGCGGGTTAAGCTGTGGTTTACCCTCTAATTGTCGATCGTGACCGCTCCTTATATGTCATGTTCCTATATAACGCCTGGGAATGAGAACTGAATGAGACCCGAGCTCAAAGTCAGTGCTGTTCCTAAGCATGATGAGTAGAGATAACGTGCTGTGACGAGATAGCAGTGAAGTGGTCTGATAGTCTGAGGTGGACTTGCGTCCGATGGTCGGTGCTCGCAGTGGAGATTGACAAGCTGATGGGGGACTACCAGCAGTTTAGAGTATAAGTCTAGGAACTTATCAAACAGTGTAATTAGCATAGTTAATCCTAGATGTGGTACTGGTAGAGACCATAAGTCGATAGTGTGAGTGAAGTTAAGTGCTGAGGACTTGACCAACAGTAGAGTTATAAAACTGAGGCTAACCAGCAGTCTAGTGGGCGTTAAGCCTGTGGGACTGACCAGCCAGTTAGAGTTAAGCTGTGATGGACGAGCAACAGCTTAGAGCTTAAGCTGAGGACTGAGCACAGTCTAAGAGTTAAGCTGTGCGTACTGACAGCCAGTTAGAGTTGAGCTGCAGGATGCAACAACAGTTAGGGTTTAAGCTGAAGACTGCACCAACAGTTAGAGTAAGCCTGGAGGACTGATCCCAACAGTTAGTGCAGTTAAGGCTGTGACTCGATCCAGCAGTTTAGACGGTCTTAGCTTGGAGACTGACCATGAAAGTATCCAAATCGTTATTTGTAAAAGCCATAAGTCTACATGCATCTGCGCGTGCGTGTGTGTGTGAAAAGTGCAATGATGTGGTGTGGTGTTCGGTGTGTGTTGGTGTGAGTGGCTTGTGTGTGTTGTGTGTGTGTCTGTCCGCTGATGGTAGATGTGCTTGGTGGTTGTGTGGTGTGATGTGGATGAGGTTGCGAGTAGAGTTGGGTTTGCTGGTGCGGTGTCGTCGAGGGCCTAGCGTGTATGTTTGTCGGGTGCGTGCTGCGTAGTGCGTTAGCGTTGTGTATGTGGTGTGCGTGTCGGTGTGTGTGTGTGTTGTGCAGCAGTGCGTAGGTGTGTTGCCTGCGTGTGCCGAGTGCCGTCGCGATAGCGTGTGTGAGTGGTGTCGTGGGGTTGTGTTGTGTTAGAGCTGGCGTGTGCGCGTGCGTGGGTGAATGGTGTGTCGCTGTATTGTGCTCGGTGCGTTGAGGGGTGTCGTACGTGCGTGGAATTAAGCCTGATTATACTGGTGCGTGTTTGTGCTGTGTGTTTGTGCGTGTGTTGGCGTGGGTGTCCGTTGTGACCTGTGATGGTGGTGCGTAGGTGTGTGTGCGCTTTATAACTGAAACTATATGTCGTTTATAAGATATTACAATCCTTTTGCTTTTAAATGAATAAATAAGAAACACCCTCGGTCTGTAGCCCTTGGTAGGAAAGTGGTTTTGCGCAACTTATCAGATCGTGCGCTTTGAGTGGCGCTACCGTCGTTGTAATCAAACTGTAGTCGTTAGTTTTAAAACATTTTTTAATAATATTTCTAATGGTGATTGAACCATGAAACTTTTTATGTAGCGTAATTTTAACCTAAATTAACTGAAAATAACCCTAGAACCTAGAGTAATTAAACTATCCCTTTAACTCTAACTGCTGGTCAGTCCTCAGCTTAACTCTAACTGCTGGTCAGCCTGCAGCCCAACTGCTGGTCAGTTGAAGCTTACGGTCATCGTTTTTTTCTGCCGGTAGACGGCGCAGAGCGTGACCTTCACCGGCAACAGTGTAACTATACCGCTGCCACAGAAGACGCCAGCCCGCTACGTGCGTATCGTACTGCAGTACGACTTCTCCGCCGGCCAGACAAACCCCGTCGTGACCGTCAGCGCCATCGGATGCGAGGCGGAGCCGGTGAACACCGATACCGGATGCACTGCTGCATTCAGCGCGGATGCGATGAGTAAGTGTTCAGGCTGCAAGATTAACGCGAGTCCAGAGTCAAATACTCCCTGATTTACTGTTGGACTCTTTGATTTGACATATGCAGGAGTCCGTGTGACTCCCTGAAAATTCTGCTATACTAACTAGTTCATTCCAGAGCGGACTCCCTGATTTGACATATGCAGGAGTCCGTGTGACTCCCTGAAAATTCTGCTATACTAACTAGTTCATTCCAGAGCACGGCCTCACGGATTCCCTCATTTTGCTGTGGACTCCCTCTTTTTGAGGGCAGGGAGTCTTTGGACTCCCTTGTTCAAAACTTAATTTCTACCCCTGCGTGTTGCCCTCTAAGCACGCATGTTTTTGACATACTTGTCATTTGTTTGTGTCGTGTTAGGAGTGAAATGCGCATACGTGATTAATAGACGCACGCACTAACCGGCGTTCTCGAAATCAAATTGTTTTTAATTCGGTCAACTCGACGCATTCTTAAGCCAATCAGATATCATGTTATATTTACCTGTCGTTTAACTCCGGTACAATCATTGCTCGGCTATTATTTCATACCCCCGGATGGTCTGCAGTAGAGAATCAGTAGCTCATATGTGTCACAGCGTAAGTAAGTATTCACGACTGTTTGCTGTAGCAATTGATATAACCACAGCAGGAGTGAATAATATATATATATATATATATATATATATAGATAGATATAGAGAATAGAATATATTATTATTCACTCATGACACAGCTATGTAGCATGAGCTCATGCCGCCATGTTATTGTCTTGCATAATAGCCTCTTGTAATGCGCACGTGAACATATTGGCATGTAACTTGTTGCAATATAAATCAAGAAATATAATTTATTTCTTGGCAGGGAACAGCCCGGGTGTCCTGTTGTTGTTGGCTAGCAGCGGACCTCGGCATTTTCGTCTGTAACGAACCCATGTTTAAGTAAGTACGAATGAGAAGTGCTTGGATGCAGGCGCGGTATTAAGCTAGTGTATTAAGTTTGGCCTGTAGCATACGTTTATAAAAGGGCCGCTAAATTTAAAAAATTAAAAGCATATTATAGTTAAAGGCAAACAATTTTTTCTGGCATAGTAAATGCTATACAGCGGTAATACGACAAAATATGTCTGGCCATTCAGTAATAGTATTACTACATGTAGGTATCAATTTCAAATGTGCCAAGTAACAAAACTCCCATTTAAAGTTACTAAACGAAATTGTTCGCTTATTTGGAGCGGCTTGCGGTAAAAAGCGGGAAAATGGAGTGAACAGCGTCATTGTATCTCGCTGTAACGGATCGCACATGGTGTTTGTGAAGGCAGATTTTTACATCTGTGTTGCATTGCTAGAATCGTTGTTCAATATAGTAGCATCAAACATTTGTTTAAAAATAAAATATTTTTATCTAAGGCGTGTTCGTGTCTGAGGGCGTGCGTGCGTGCGTTGTGTGCGTGAGGTGTGCGTGTGTTACGGCGCCGCTGCGTTTTTTGGTTTTTTTAGTGTTAATTTATTTTTTTGATGTTTTTAGATATTAATTTTGTGTATTTCACGTAAGTAGAGCAGGCATTTAAATACACAACGCGAAGGCGCTAAATTGAGCGACCCAAGCAAGCAGGACAAACGAAAACAGAACCGCCATCTTTTTCTAGGAGACGAACCACGCATGCGCGCCGTTTAATACGCATACATAAAATACATAGTCGTACATGTTCGTACATTAGGATATAAGATATAGTATTTGAAAGTCACATCTTTCTCCACACTCTCGCTACCCCTTTCAGGGCGTAAGCCAGCGGGGGCGGGTGGGGCGGTGGGGCAGAGTCCGCCCCCCCCCCCAAACACCGGCCAACAAAAAGAGAGAGAGAAGAGCAAAAAAGCAAGAGGAGCGTAGGAAGAAAGAGAGCATACAAAGACACATGACAAAGGGGAAAACCTGGTTTTTGGGTTTTTAAAAAAAATGATTATAAAAGAAAGCAACAGATATCATTTAATTATTTAAAAAATATTTTGTGAAATGAGCTTTGAGCAGCGCAGTTCGCCTTTCATCGCAGCTCGGCATAACATATCATACGTACGGCTACACGAATTAATATGACTATCAGCTCTACTGATATTTTGTGTACAGCAGGTCGGGTATTTTTTTCTTTTTTTTTTTTTTCATTCTTTGTTTGTTGTTTTTTTGTTCTTTGTTTTTCTTTTGTTTTTTTTCTTCTTTTTTTTTATTTTTTTTTTTGGTGTTTTTGTTTTTGTTATTTTGATTTTTTTTTTTTTTTTTTTTTTGTTTTTTTTTTTTTTTTTCTTTTTTTTTTTTTTTTTTATTATTTTGTTTTTTTTTTTTTGTTTTTTTTTTCTAACGTGCTAAGCTTGTGTATTCTTATTGTGTTTCTGACTGTCACATCAGTCCTGCTAGGCAATTATTGGAAATCTTATGATGAAACTGCTGATTGTTTTGTGATTAGTTTGATTAAACGTCAATATATTTATCAAACATGCTATGATGCTGGCTTTTCGAAGATGTGCCTAAAAAAGAATGGCGAAATCTGTTTAAGCAAATAAATCGCAATATTATTTTTGGAAATTCAGGATTAGAGAGTCGAGAACGGTACAACGAATCGTCTTCTTTCTTAATAATTAATGAAACGGTCAAGCTTCCGCGCGGCTTCGCAACAGTGGGGTGCTGCAGGGTGGCTGTGTGGCCGGCGCTCGCTCGTTGCTGTGTAGATTAGGTGCGGGAGGGGGGACTCCGCCCTGCCCTGCACCCACCGCCTTAGGAATTGTCGCGCTCCTAAGTGATTCGCACATGGGCGTTAAAGTCCCGGGGGATTGGGGGATGCCATCTCCCCGCTGCTTGAGGAGGGGGGATGGCCTGTACAAATAACCCCTGAAATTCTGCAAAAAAAAAAACGAGATTTGAAAGAGAAAGAAAGGAAGAAGAAGAAAAAAGGAAAGAAATGTGATTGTTTCAATTTTCAGGCGTAATGCATGAGAAATGATTTTTTAAATTGTATGTATAACCTGTATATAGCGTTGAACAGTACATATTCAGTGTTAATCATGGCTAAATTGGGCTTATGGTATGTGGCCAGACAGGACTTGTTGCAAAGTGGGGCACGGAGGATAGAGTGACTGCAGATGGCATATAGTCTGCTCAAAGTACAAGTGGGCTATGGCGAGTGGCTAATGAATGCGATCATCGCAATATACCCAATATATCACGCCGTTCTTTGCGCAGCAAAATGAGAGAATTGTCTGTCTTGAAGGCGGCAGGAAGTGAGATTTAGTGGAGTTATTTAATGTTGAACTGTATCATGTGGCCTTTGAGGAGGGCGCAGACCATGCAAATAAACTTCAAGAAAAATGTTTACCAGACAGTCACAAAGTAGGCCAAAGAAGTATGTTTTATGGGCAAAAGCATGCGGAAAAGCAGCGTGAAAATATTTGGAGAAATTGCAATTGCTTAGCGCTGTGTTTGTTAATACATGTATTATTACTATCAGTAACTTCTAACTGTTTGTACGCTGCATCTGAAAGCTAATGAAAGTGTTCTTGATGCCTAAAACTATCGTAGGGTTTGAGCTCTAGGTTTGTAGAATAGGTCATCAGCACATGAGATATATTGGGACCGCACAGTGTGCCTCAGATTGCAGGAATATATGGCTTAAAATATTTCAAAATTTTCTGGGGGCATGGCTCGGGCGCACACTCCCCTTGCATATGGCCAGCCTACGGCAGCGTGTCCTAACGTAGCCAGTTTTCAAATTTGGCATGTCGTGGGCACGTATGTAATGAGCATATATATAATGTTAATGTACGTTGTGTTTGTGTTTGTGTGTTATGTTGTTTGTTCGTTTGTGTGTGTATAGTGGTGCTGTGTGTGTGTGTGTGTGTGTGTGTGTGTGTTGTTCGTGCGTTCGCGGTGGTCGTAGAAATTATTGTGGGTCTTAGGCTCGTGGCTAGTATGTGATGGCTATGCGCGCTTGATCAAATCCCCGCCTCCCACTCCTCGGTACGGATTTACGCCCCTGATTCGCACACTTCACGTACTCATTGCCGCCCCCCTAAAATAAAATCCTAGCTACGCGCCTGCCCCCTTTACAGCTAACTTCGAATTTCATATTAAGAATATTAATAGATCTAACATGAGTCCTTAACAATAACTTCGATAACGTTCCAACGATTTTCTAGCAATATTCACAAATTATTGCAGAGGTTGCTAGCACTTGCACCACAGACACGGTTCTCAGCACTGGTCTCCCACATTAACTAACCTTACTTATGAAACATCAGTCTCACTCTAACCTCAAAGAAAAACCAATTAACACACAACAGGAGAGTGTCATGACTACCACTACACAAATGGATAATGAGCAACGACTAAAAGGAATTTGAACATAATGTTATTCTATTAACATCACCATCGATAATATCTACAGGTTGATCAGACCTGAGTTTAGATAAAGGTGTCTTTATGTACACCCAATGGAATATCTTTCTTCTAGTCACAGAGTCTCTCTGAAAGCTCATATGTATCACGGTACACACATTTCCATTGAAACTTGTCTAAATAAATGCAACCACGCGAGATTGTCTGACATATAAACTCAATCAATAAATTCATAGTTCAACTTAAATTTACTCTCTAATACATGTATTCATCTCAACAGTTTACTCATGTTCACTAATAAAACTGGCTATTCACGTACACATTAGCCTTAGTATACATATCCCGGCACAGGAGTCCATGCCTGTTGCCAGTATGCATGCTGCATCTCACCGCGTTGTCAATACACAGGCTGAAAGTACACCGGTTGATACACTGGTTGTCCAAACGATTCATATGTAAGACGTCTTGGTGGCTGGTGATGTCGTCTTAGTCGTACGTAGTTTGCAGGAATTGGAGTTGATTCAGGACTCTCCATCATCTCTGCTTCATCAGCGACATCCTCATGTGGTAACAGTTCAGGTGATTGATAATGCACATTATCAATTGGTCGAGTTTCCTCTGGGTCTACGTGCTCTTCAAGAAGTGGTGGAGGGCTGGGTGGAGCCAGTGGATGGGCATCTCGTGGTTGGTGCTCTACTTGGTCGCTTTTGCTTGATACAGGAACACTGTCCATTCACATACTGGTCTACCTCCCTCGCCATGTGGGGCTAGTAAAACCGGGGATGTATCAGGCTGAGAACACGATCTGTACCGTGGTGGCCCATATCGTTATGTAACTGTTGATCAACCATAGGCTTATATCGTCCTGGTAATACCAGTTGGTCTTAGAGTCGGGTTTTCCTACGTAGCCAGCCACTTTCACTTAGGTACAGGTGTGACCACTCTCTCAGTAGATCTCGAACAGCTTCTGATTCCTTCTTGTGCTTACTGGCTGACAGCCATCTATTTTTCTTCTTCAGGTCTATTACTCGTATAATGGCAGGATCTTCAACTTGAGCTTTATTAAGTTCCTCTATCGGGATCAGGTTGCTGAATAACGGATCAGGCGTAAAGGCACTATCCACAGCAGTAGGGTCACTGGTGATCGCTTCAATCCAGGTGATATTGTTCTGAGGGTTGATGCATTCTATTGCAGCTGAAAGTGTCTGACCCTCAATCCCTTGGGTACATCTAGTCATGTATTCTTCCATGTCAACTGGCAATCTTGACAGGTAGTCCGCAGCAACATTGGTGGTACCTGGTTTGTATCTGATGTTAAAATTGAAGTCAGCAAGCTCAGCTACCTAACGATGACCCATAGCATTGAGTTTAGTGGTGGTGAATATATATGTTAGTGGGTTATTGTCTGTGTATACGGTAAAGGATGGAGCGTAGTACAAATAATCACGAAATTTGTCCGTGACAGCCCACTTTAATGCCAGAAACTCCAACTTGCCAGAGTGAAGGTGATAATTACGCTCAGCAGGTGTTAAGGTTCTGGAAC